TTTGACTCCTTTGTTAGATATATTCCTAAATATTTTGTGGGGTTTTTTTTGCAGCTATTGTAAAAGGGGCTGAGTTCTTGATTTTAATCTCAGCTTGGTTGTTATTGGTGTATAGCAGTGCTACTAATTTGTGTATATTGATTTTGTATCCTGAAACTTTGCTGAATTCATTTATCAGATCTAGAAACTTTTTGGATGAGTCTTTAGCATTTTCTAGATATGTGATCATATCATTGGTGAACAGTGACAGTTTGACTTCTTCTTTTCTGATTTGGATGCTCTTTATTTCTTTCTCTTGTCTGAATGCTTTGTCTAGGTCTTCCAATAATATGCTGAATAGAAATGGTGAAAGTGGACATCTTGTCTTGTTCTATTTCTTTAGGAATGCTTTCAACTTTTCACCATTCAGTATGATATTGGCTATGGGTTTGTCATAGATGGCTTTTATTGCTTTGAGGTATGTCCCTTCTATGACAGTTTTGCTGAGGGTTTTTATCATAAAAGGATGCTGGATTTTGTCAAATGCTTTTTCTGCATTTATTGAAATAATCATATGATTTTTGTTTTTAATTCTGTTTATGTGATGTGTCTCATGTATTGACTTGTGAATGTTAAACCATCCATGCATCCATGGTGTGAAACCCATTCGATCATGATGTATTATATTTTTTATATGCTGTTGGATTTGGTTAGCTAGTATTCTGTTGAGGATTTTTGCATCTATGTTCATCAGGAATATTAATCTGTAGTTTTCCTTTTTTGTTGTTTTTTCCTGGTTTTGGTGTTAGGGTAATACTGGCTTCCTAGAATGATTTAGCGAGGATTTCCTCTTTATCTTTTGGAATAGTATTGGTAGGATTAGTACAAATTCTTTAAATGTCTTATAGAATTTGGCTGTCAGTTTATCTGGTCCTGGACTTAAATTTGCTGGTAATTTTTTAAATTACTGTTTCAATCTCGCTGCTTGTTATTGTTCTGTTCAGAGTGTCTATATTTTCCTGATTTAGTCTAGGAGGGTTGTGTATTTCCAGGAATCTATCCATCTCCTCTAGATTTTCCAGGTTGTGTGCATAAAGGTGTTCATAGTAGCCTTGAATGATCTTTTGAATTTCTGTGGTATTGGTTATAATATCTCCCATTTATTTTATTTGAGCTTATTTTGGTCTTCTCTCTTCTTTTATTGGTTAATCTCACTAAGTCTATCAATTTTGTTTATTTTTTCAAAGTACCAGCTTTTTCTTTTATTTATTTTTTCTTTTTTCTTTTCTTTTTTTTTTTTTTTAAGTTCTCTTATCTTTGTTATTTCTTTTCTTTACTGTGTTTGGGCTTGGTTTGTTCTTGTTTCCCTAGTTCCTTGAGGTATGACATTAGATTGCCTATTTGAGCTCTCTCAGACTTTTTGATGTAGGCATTTGATGCTATGAATTTTCCACTTAGCACCCCTTGTACTGTATCCCAGAGGTTGTGATAAGTTATGTTACTGTTATCATTTAGTTCAAATTAAGTTTTAATTATTTAAAAAATTTATTGTTTTCATCTCAATTTTATTGTTGACCCAAAGATCATTCAAGAGCAGAATTTGCATAGTTTTGGGGGTTCCTTTTGGAGCTAATTTCCATTTTTATTCTACTGTGTTCTGGAGAATACTTCATGTGATTTCAGTTTTCTTAAATATATGGAGACTTGTTTTGTGCCCTATCATATGGTCTGTCTTGGAGAATATTCCATGTGCTGGTGAAAAGAATGCATATTCTGTAGTTGTTGGGTAGAATGTTCTGTAAATATTTGTTGTTTATTTGTTTGATGGCATAGTTTAAGTCCATTTTTTCTTTGTTGACTTTCTGTCTTGATGACCTTTCTAGTGCTGTCAGTGGACTATTGAAATTCCTCAGTATTATTGTGTTGCTATGTCATTTCTTAGGTCTAATAATAATTGTTTAATGAATTTGGGAACTCCTTTGTTAGGTGTGTATGTATTTAGGATTATGATGGTTTCCTATTGGACTAATCCTTTTATCATTTATATAATGTCCCTCTTTGTCTTTTTTTAAAAACGATTGTTGCTTTCAAGTCAATTTTTTTCTCTAAGAATAGCTTCTCCTGCTTGCTTTTGTTTCCATATGTGTGGAATATCTTTTTCCTTTCCTTTACCTTAAGTTTATGTGAGTCCCTATGTGTTATGTGAGTCCCTTGAAGATTCCAGATACTTGATCAGTGGACCTTTATCCATTCTGCCATTCTGTGTCTTTGAGTGGAGCATTTGGACCATTTATGATCAACATTAGTATTGAGATGTGAGGTACTGCTCTATTCATTGTGTTAGTTGTTGCCTAAATACACTTTTTCATTGTATTATTGTTTATAGGCCCTGTGAGATTTATGTTTTAAGAAGGTTCTTTTTTGGTGCATTTCAAGGTTTTGTTTCAAGATTTAGAATTCGCTTTAGCATTTCTTATAGTACTGGCTTGGTAGTGTCAAATTCTCTCAGCATTTGTTTGTCTAAAAAAGACTTTATCTCTCCTTCATTTCTGAAGCTTAGTTTTGCTGGATACAAAATTCTTAGCTGACAGTTATTTTGTTTAAGGGGGCTAAAGATATGACCCCAACCCCTTCTGGATTGTAAATTTTCTGCCTAGAAATCAGCTGTTAATCTGATAGGTTTTTCTTTATAGTTTATGTGATGCTTTTATCTCACAGCTCTAAATGTGACATGGTAAAAAGCCCCATAAACCTGCATACCTCAACCATACCTCGGCTTTCTGTGAAATTGCTCTCTGTAACTCAAATATGACAAGCAAGCAGTCCAAACCCATGCCATCTTGGCCCCTGCGACTTGTAATTTCCACCCTACCCAGACAATATGTAAACAAGTGCTTATCTTGACTTTTGTGAATCACTTAAGTAACAATCAGAATGTCAGAAGTCCCCTGGCCCTCCGAATGTCCAGAGCCCCTCACCCTCATCTTCGCCCAGGAATCCACTGGAATGTCCGGAGCCACTCACCCTCATCTCCGCCCAGGAGATGATTTACAGAATCTACTGGCCCTTGGAATGTCTGAATCCTCTCACCCCCACCCCCGCCCCTCACCCTCACTCCCAAGGTGGTTGTATGGGTATAAAAGGTCTTGACACCCTCCTTTCGGGGCCAGGGGTTGGGGAGACATGAGTCCTCTGTGGCCGCCGGCAGTAAAGACCCTGCAATTTGGCATACTTTTGTCTTGGTGTTGAATTTCTGTGCTCGGTTCAGTACAACATAAACATTCTTTCATTCTTCCTGACTTTAGATAACCAGATGACTATACCTAGGTGATAATCATTTTGTGATGAATTTATCAGGAGTTCTTTGAGCTTCTTGTTTTTGGATGTCTAGATCTCTAGCACGGCTGGGTAAGTTTTCAATTATTCCCTCAAATAAGTTATTCAAACTTAGATTTCCATTCTTCCTCAGCAACACCAATTATTCCTACCTTTGGCCATTTAACAGAATCCCAAATTTCTTGGAGGCTTTGTTCACTTTTTTAGAATTATGTTTTCTTTATCTTTTACAGATTGGGTTAATTTGAAAGCCTTGTCTTTGAGCTCTGGAGTTCTTTCTTCTACCTGTTCTAGTCTCTTGTGGAAACTTCCCACTGCATTTTGTATGTCCCTAAGTGTGTCTTTCATTTCCAGTTGTGATTTTTTTTCTTTATGATACCTATTTCCTTGTAACATTTTTTATCCATATCCTGCATTTTTTTTTGAAGTTTTTGTTTGTTTTCAACTTTCTCTGGTATCTCATTGAGTAGCTTAATAATCAACCTTTTGAGTTCTTTATCTGGCAATTCAGAGATTTCTTCTTGGTTTGACTTTATTGCTGGGGAGTTACCATGATCTTTTGGGGGTGGTATAGAGCCCTGGTTTTGTTGTTGTTATTTTTTTAACATTACCAGAATTTCTTTTCTGATTTCTTCTTATTTGGGTAGACTATTACTTAAAATTGTTTTTGAATTTATTTTTGATTGTTTTTTTTTTTTAAATCTAAATTTCCTTTTTTCCTTCTTAAGGATCAGACTTTAATGTTTATTTTAGCCTAATTTGACTCTTGGTGCTTTTAGGAGTGAAGACTCTGCATGAGTTCCTTAGTTACAGAGAATCTTTTTGTGCTGGCTTTTCCTGATGCTGGCTGTAACAGTTATATTGTTGATGTGTGGATGAATTCACTGTCCCTTATGGAGTTAGAAGGCAGGGATCTATTGAAGCGTATCTCATTCTCTTGTGGTAGACACTTTAGATGGTGTGAAGTTCTGGAAAGGAGGAGGATGAGATGGGGGGCAGATGGGAACCAGCTCTCAGGGGCCTCTGCTGAGACCTGGGGAATGAGAAGAGCCCCCAAGGTGCAGAGATGGGGAGGAATGGAAGATGAAGATAAAATGTGTGTCCTGAGGCAATAAAAGCCCTGCTGTGTTGTCAGAGCTGGGAGAAAGTGTAAATAGAAAGAGTAGCAGTGGAGGGAGGAGCTGGTGACGAGGAAGAGAGAGGCAGAGGTTGGGTTAGCAGGGTCTTGTCAGGGCCAGCATGAGGAGCACATGGGTGGATTCTTCGAATCCACATGACCAATATGAGGACTGCATGGATGGGCCTTTGAATCCACATGACCAGCATGAGGACCACATGGCTGGGCCTTCAAATCCTCATGACCAGCGTAAGGACTGCATGGCTGGATCCTCTGAATCTACATGACCAGCATGAGGGCTGTGTGGGTGGATCCTTTGAATCCATGTAACCAGCATGAGGGCCACATGAATGGACCTTTGAATACCCACAGCCTGCATGACCACTGGATGTTGGGGTGCTTGCCCATCCCTTTCTAAGCAGGTCTGTTGTCTATGCCTTCAGGTGCATCTATTGCCTGCCTGCAAGTGGGGTGTGGGGTACAACAGAATCAAGGATGATCCCAGTGTTATTCTCACATGTTTCTGAAATGATTATGTTGTGAAGTTAAGTGTAAAGTTGGATGAAGAGCTGAATGTAAAGTTGGATGAAGAGCTTATTTTTGTGAGTGTTTCATTAGTTTATGCTTTATAAAACATAGCCAGTGAATCACTGATTATAGAACCTATGATAGCTTAACTGTAATTACATAGAGGGTTGTGAAATTGTTGATTAATCTCAGTTTAGCTATGGGAAATGTGAGTTCCAATTGCAGTTTCCCAATAACTAATTTGCTGTGATCAATTCAGAAAATAACTTTGTGTTTTAGTCATTGATACCAGCAACTGGTTTCAGTAGCCAGTGTTTAGAATGCTAAGTGTCAGTGCTGTACCCATGGCATATGGATCATTGTTTAGTCTTTGCCTCTCAGTAACTGTTCCATTTTATGGTTGTGAAAGCTTATTCAGAGAGCCTAAGCAAGGTCAGTTAAGTGGGGATAGGAGGATTTGAGTCAAGGTCTGCTTAATTGGAAAGCTCATGAGAGGAATGGAGCAGTTGTGAATGTGGAACCTCCAGAGTTTTTAACAAATTTCTCTTCTTTTTTCTTGGGGTGAGGAAAGGTGAATAAATAGGTATGATGTGGCATGTGTGTGTGGTCACACTAGTAACTATCAATAGATAATAGACTTTTTTTCTATACTAAATATGACACCTATAGTCATCTTGTATGTACTTTTTGTTTTCAGATTGAAGATGGAAAATCCCCAAGACATTTTCTCAAGTAATGGTGGCTGTGTAAGTGATATAGTTATAGAGAAATACCTGGTTGAATCCAAGGAGTCTGCATCTCATGTTCAGCTTGCTTGCAGCATGCAGCACTGTGCTTTCCCTTTGGATGGGAATGAACTTTGCATATGGAACACCAAGGATCCTTCTCATCAGGTATTTTACAAGTGTTATGTCCAGTGTCATGAAGGCCTTGCCCTTGACTTTCCATGTCTTTGATACTGTTTGGACAGCATTACCTTCTATGGATTCACCTACCAACTATGGGAGAGAAATATTGATAAAAATATTATATTACATTTTTATATTTAGAACACAAGCTATCTGGAATTACTTAATTAAAAAAATTTCTTCAGTAATAAGCTGATCAAGAAAAGGTTCATGTTAACATAATCAAATCTCCTACCTTTGGATATCCAGATTGACTTTTCTTACTTTTTTCAGTGAAGTATAAACTACATAGAAAAAAAAGGTCCATGTAAAAAGTGCACGTTGTAATGACTATAACTAAATGAATTCACTTAGGTAACCACCCTAGGTCATGCCTCTTCTCCATCAACACCCACTTTTCTCCTCCCCAAAGCCAACACTGTCTTGACTTCTAATACCATAGGTTAGTTTTGCTTTCGGTGAATTTTATATAAATGTGATTATATATTATGTACTTTTTTGTGCTTGTCTCTTCGATTAACCAGCGTATTTATGAGATTCATCCAGTTGTTCATTTTCATTGCTGCACAGTATTATATTATGTGAACAGACCTCACTTTATCCATGCTTCTGTTGGTAGACATTTGTTTTATTTTAGTTTTTTTGGCTGCTACATTCTTTCCTATGTGTTTTGGTGCACACACACATACAATTGCTGAGTTGTAAAGGTTACATAGTTGACTCTCGAACAGCATGGGTTTGAACTGTGCTGGTTCACTTATACACCGATTTTTTTCAACCCAATGTGGGTCAAAACTATAGAATTTGCAGGATATGAAAACTGCATATTTGGAGGGGCACCTTTTCATATGTGTGTATTCCACACAGCCAACTGTGGGATGTGAGTGTGCACAGATTTTGGTTTATGTGGGGTTCCTGGAACCAATCCCTCATGATACTGAGTGATGTCTCTATTCAGTAGGTAATGCCTAGCAGATTTCCAAAGTGAATGTACCAATCTATATTTCTTCTAATGGAGTGTGAGTTTTAGTTGATCCATATCTTCACCTATACTTGTTTATTTTCATTTTAGCCTTTCTAAAAGGGTGTAGTGTTACCTAATTATAATTAGTAATTCTGTGATTATTAATGAGGTTTAGCACTTTTTTGCACATTTATTGGCCATGTAGATATTCTTTTTTGTGATATATGTATTCAGATTTCTTGTCATTTTTTCTGTTGGATTATCTATATGTTTTCTATTGATTTGAAGGAGTTCTTTATATTATAAATGTAGGGTTTCTGTCTCTTTAGTTTGCATTTTCTACAGTTTTATGTAAATAGAATCATGGTAATTTAATTTTTTTATTGACATGTAATAGTTGTACATACTTTGGGGGTATATGTAATATTTTGATACAAGTATACAATGTGTTATGATCAAATCAGGATGATTGGGATGGCCATCACCTCAAACATTTACCTTTTTATTGTGTTGAGAACATTCTAGTTCTTTTCTTCTGGAAATTTTGAATTACATAGTAAGTTATTATTAACTATAATTTTCCTGCTATACTATTGAATACCACAACTTATTCTTACTATTTTTTTTATTCTTTTGCCCACTTCTTTTCATTCTCCCCACTTCCTGTCCTAGCCTCTGGTAACCACCATTCTACTCCCCACTTCCATGAGATCTACTTTTTAAGTTTCTACATATGAGTGAGAACATGTGATATTTGTCTTTCTGTGCCTGGCTTATTTTATTTAACATAATGATCTCCAGTTCCATCCGTGTTGCTGCAAATGACAAGATTCAGTCTTTTTTATGGCAGAATAATATTCCATTGTGTATATATATCACATTACTTTATCCATTTGTCTGTGGATGGACACAGTATTCCATTGTGTATATATATCACATTTCTTTACCCATTTGTCTGTGGATCCATATCTTGGCTGTTGTAAATAGTGCTGGAGTAAATATGGGAGTGCATTATTATATAATGTGCTATTTTTCTCTTCATACAGCTTTTAACTTGATGTCTGTTTTATCTGATGTAAGTATGGCTACTCCTGTTTGCTTTTGGTTTCCATTTGCATGAAATGTATTTTTCCATCCCTTCACTTTCAGACTATGTGTGTCTTTATTGCTGAGATGAGTTTCTTGTAGTCCACATACAGTTGGGTCATATTTTTTGTTTTATTTAGCCAATCTATATCTTTTTAATTGGGAATGTTATTTATTTACATTCAGGGTAATTGATAGGTAAGGAATCACTCCTGTCATTTTATTTATTGTTTTCTATTTGTCTTGTATATCTTTTTTTTCTTCTTGTTTTCTTGTTTATTTTCTCAGTTGGGTTTTCTATGGATTTGATTCCTTTGTCTTTCTCCTTTGTGTATTGGTTCTACCAGGGAATTTTATAGTTTATTATGTTTTTATGATGGTGATTATCACCTTTATATTTCCAGATATAAGACTCCCTTGAAACTTTCTTGTAAGACCAGTCTAGTGGTGATGAATTCACTGAGTTTTGTTTGTCTCTGAAGATTTAATTTATCCTTCATTTTGAAAAATAGCTTTGCTGGGCACAATATTCTTGGCTGAAGTTTATTTGCTTTCAGTACTTTGATATAGCATCCTATTCTCTCCTGAACTATAAGGTTTCTGCTGAAAAATATGCTGTTAGTCAAATGGACATTCTCTTACATGTGACTTGATGCTTTATTCTTGCTGCTTTAATTTTTGTGTCCTTGCATTTTGACAATTTGAAAATAATGTAACTCTAAGAGGACTATTGGATTGAAACTATGTGGTAATTTGAGCTTCGTGGACCTGGATTTCCATCTCTTTCCCAAGACATGAGAAGTTCTCTGCTATGATTTATTAAATATGTTTTCCTCACCTTCTCCCTTATTTTCTTTTGATAGAATGCCCATATTATGAATATTTATTTGCTCATTGATGTCTCAAATGATATAGGCTATCTTCATCCTTTTTTATTCTTTCTTTGTCTGCTGGTATTATTTCAGAAGTTCTGTCTTCAAGTTCAGAAATTCTTTCTTCAGCTTGATCAAGCTAGTTGCTTAATCTAGTTGTTAAATCTCTCAATTATATTTTTAAATTTTATTCATTGAATTCTTTAGGATTTATCTTTTTTTTAAAATATCTATTTCTTTGTCGAATTTCTCATTAAAATCATGAGTTGTTTTCCTGATTTTGTTGAATTGTCTATCTGTATTCTCTTGAATTTCAATGAATTTTCTTAAAATTATTATTTTGAATTCTTTTTCTGACATTTCATATATTTTCTTTTTAAAATTTTTTAATTTTTAATTTTTTTTATTGTACCTTAGGTTCTGGGGTACATGTGCAGATCATGCAGGATTGTTGCATAAGTAAACACATGGCAATGTAGTTTGCTGCCTCTATCCCCCTGTCACCTACATCTGCCATTTCTCCTCATGTTATCCCTCCCTGACCTCCCAATCCCCCTGCTGTCCTCCCTTGCCCCCCCCAACAGACCCCACTGTGTGATGCTCCCCTCCCTGTGTCAATGTGTTCTCATTGTTCATTACTCGCCTACGAGTGAGAACATGTGGTGTTTGATTTTCTGTTCTTGCGTCAGTTTGCTGAGAATGATGGTTTCCAGATTCATCCATGTCCCTACAAAGGACACAAACTCATCTTTTTTATGGCTGCATAGTATTCCATGGTGTATATGTGCCACGTTTTCCTTGTCCAGTTTATCATTGATAGGCATTTAGATTGGTTCCAGATCTTTGCTATTGTAAACAGTGCCACTGTGAACGTACATGTGCATGTGTCTTTATAACAGAATGATTTATAATCCTTTGGATATATACCCAGTAATGGGATTGCTGGGTCAAATGGAATTTCTATTTCTAGGTCCTTGAGGAAGCACCACACAATGGTGCTTCCACAATGGTTGAACCAGTTTACACTCCTGCCAACAGTGTAAAAGTGTTCCTATTTCTTCACATCCTCTCCAGCATCTGTTGTCTCCAGATTTTTAGAGATCGCCATTCTAACTGGCGTGAGGTGGTAGCTCAATGTGATTTTGATTTGCATTTCTCTAATAATCAGTGATGAACATTTTTCATATGTTTGTTGGCCTCATATATGTTTTCTTTTGAAAAGTATCTGTTCATATCCTTTGCCTGCTTTGGATGGGTTTCGTTTTTTTTTTGTATATCTGTTTCGTTCTTTGTAGATTCTATTTCGTTCTTTGTAGTTCTTTGTAGCTTCTTTAGTTCTCTGTAGGCCTGTGTCAGATGTGTAGATTGCAAAATTTTTTTTCTATTCTGTTGGTTGCCGGTTCACTCTATTGATTGTTTATTTTGCTGTACAGAAGCTCTGGAGTTTAATTAGGTCCCATATGTCTATTTTGGCTTTTGTTGCCAATGCTTTTGGTGTTTTAGTCATGAAGTCCTTGCCTATGCCTATGTCCTGAATGGTTTTGCCTAGGTTTTCTTCTAGGGTTTTTATGGTGGTAGGTCTTATGTTTAAAAGTCTTTAATCCATCTGGAGTTAATTTTAGTGTAAGGTGTCAGGAAGGGGTCCAGTTTCTGCTTTCTGCACACTGCTAGCCAGTTTTCCCAACACCATTTATTAAACAGGGAATCCTTTCCCCATTGCTTGTTTTTGTGAGGTTTGTCAAAGATTAGATGGTTGTAGATGTGTGGCGTTGCCTCCAAGGCCTCTGTTCTGTTCCATTGATCTATACCTCTGTTTTGGTACCAGTACCATGCTGTTTTAATTATTGTGGCCTTGTAGTATAGTTTGAAATCAGGTAGTGTGATGCCTCTGGCTTTGTTCTTTTTGCTTAGGATTGTCTTGGCTATGCAGGCTCTCTTTTGGTTCCATATGAAGTTTAAGGTGTTTTTTTCCAGTTCTGTGAAGAAGGTCATTGGTATCTTGATGGGAATAGCAATGAATCTATAAATTACTTTGGGCAGTGTGGCCATTTTCATGATACTGA